ACGCGCTTCGGCGTTCCGCCGCGCCGCGACCCGCAGCACGACCAACACCGCGACCGCGCCGCACACTGACACCGATCTACAATGTTTTATTTTTATTTTTGTAACAAGTTCGCTGTCTTCGACTCTTGCCGGCTTAGTTGAAATGCGGAGAGGGGGTAGGACGCGTCGTCGGCTACAACGTCTGTGAGGTACAAGTCACTACTGTATGCGAAAATGCTTTCTATTTTTTGTTTATAATTATTTTACGAATAAATAAATATTGAATTTATCGAATAAAAAATGTGTTTCCTTTATATGACTAGTTAGTAATACAACATACATTTTTACTTCAAAAGTATGCAACAAAAAACGAATGACTAAATTTAATTTATTTTATGAGCTTAAAAGTAAAACAATGCGACATAAGAGGATGTAATCGGACATTGAATAACTATAGCCATAAGCGTCGCCAGCCGATAATCTAGGATCTAGATCTACATTTTTCGATTCTCTAGGTTTTCAGTTGTCCCCTTTAGCGAATCCTGTGGAGAAGGCGGGTGGGGGGGCTATCGGCAAAAATCAAATTGTTTAATGCTTCTGAGGGCGGTGCTTGGGCGCGGGCTTGCGGTGCCCTTGTCGCTCTTCTTTGACGCTAAGTATGCGCTCCAGTAGCACCTGCAGCTCCCGCAGCTCGGCGCTGTCCTCGGCCACGGGGTTGCCGTCTATCTGCACGCGCATCAGCCCAACTTCATCGTGATCCTGAACGTGGCCTTGCCCGTGGCCATGCGCGTCCACATGCACGTGAGACTGCTCGCGCGCACGCGGATGCCCGTGTCCTTGTACACGTAACCGCGATTGCTCGCGCTCATACGTGTGTGCATGTGTTTGAGCATGCGCGTCGCGTCTGGCCGCCTGGTACGTCAGCACGTGGCAAAGCATCGCGACACTAAAGCGGTCTAGCCTGTTGTAGGCGAGGTTGAGCGAGGCCAGCTTCATATTTCCCAACGAAAAGACTATCCTGTAACAAATGTTGATTTGATCATGTATTTCCTAAAATTGTGTCTGGAGGAGTACTTCCCGTTGATCGTGACAAACATCAATAATGCCGTTCCTCGTGTTATTGTTCACACTGAATGCTGGTCGTAAATTAGAGAATGATGAGATAATGGACTAAATGTACTTACCCATTTCGTACAAACGTCTTGTGCTTGCTCAGCGGATCTCGCTTAAGTAGCAGCAGGCCGGCCC